TACAAACACACAATACACTAAATCACTTATGTTGCCTACAACCATTCATACCTCACTTTCACATACAGACTCAGTTAATACATCATTCAATTATATACATATTTTACTACATCTCAAAAATATACACATTTCTAAGTTATCTTACCTACAGAACTGTGATTGAGCATATTTATTTTCATGAACTTTTATTGGGTATCATTTCATATATATACATATTACTCATTTACTTAATGCATAAGCAAAATTTTCATAATCATTACTTAATTGTCTCATGTCGAATAAATTTGTCTAATAATTTTTAAGTTGTACTATATTTACATATATAACAATATCTCGGTGCATCGTAAGCACAATATTCAAATATAAGCACTACTTGCAAACCCCTAAAAAATACTTTTTCATTTTTGTGTCTGTGCCAGAGAGATAACTCATAAAATTATATGCTTCTTATACAACGTGGCTGATACGGAATCATTCTATAAAAAAAATTCTCTATTGTTTGAAAATATTAATAATAGTTAGGATAGGAACAGTAAAACTAACCGGAATAGTGGTTATCCATTACTTCACGACGTCTTTTAACATAACAACTAATATAGTAAATGAGTTGGACTCCTAATCCGTTTCCGAATCTGCTCCTTGCGATATTGAAGACTGCTTCCACTTGGATCCAAACCCTAAAACGTCCCTTAAAATTATAAGTCAAAACATCAGGAGTATCTCACATAATTTCTCTGAATTTCTTACATTAATTGTAAGAACGAAAGTGCGCTGGGATATTATTATCTTAACTGAGTGTTGGCTGCAAAGTGTTCGCATACTTCCTGTAATTAACGGTTTTAAGACACTTAATACAGAAAACAACTAAACACAAAATGGTGGCGTTGTCGCATATATAAATAGTGATCTTAATTTATCGTTTGAAGAAAGAACAGTGGCAGACTTTCATACATAAAATTAGTTGAGAAGGAATGGTAGCGTCTATATATCAAAAATATCTTAAAATGTTAAGCGTCAGTCCCTTAATAACTCTGTCAAAGAATTTTGTCCTGAGAAGGCGTCAAAAAAAAGATATTTAGATTTGAACCCTTTTAGGTTATGTCTTATCGCTTGTAAAAAGTCATGCGTCCTGTGGTTATTTGATGTTAGCTTAATAAATTCTCAACATAATGTACCCACCTACAAAGTTGAGAGTGTTTAGATTATTGTATCTCTATTATATATTTGCATAATATAAATGTTTATTTCTGGCATAGCTCCAGGGCCTTTAAGTCATACAATGACATTCTCAGAAAGGCTAGAACCCAGAGCCGTAAAGCCAGTAAAAAAAACCAGTGACATTTTTTTAGCTAGTGCTGCCATAACATTAAATGAAATTGTTACAAAGTACTATGATTGAGATAATTTATTATTGTAGGAAGTTCTTTGTAAGAGACTTATTTTCAATCATATCACTTTTATTACTGATAGTATAGTTATTACTAATAATAACTTAATATAAAAATATTTTGTGTTTGTGTGTTGTGTTGGTAGTCTTACAAAGTTATACGAAAATAGTATAAATATAGTAAATGGCAACACTTGAATAGAGTAAAATGATTTAAGTCATTTGATATTCCTAAAAAATGTTTGGTTTTTTCTGTGGCTTTATTTAAAATACATTTTTATTTGAAAAATCATAGAAAAATAATAAAACTCATTCTATATATAATTTATTTCTAGACGCAATAATTTTTGTCACCTATTTTTCTGCCATTGCTCTTTGCTTCCGTAACGCGAATTGTCTTCTTTTAAAGATAAATAGTGTTAGGTTAATAACTACTATTGTTAAGTTAATAACTACTATATTATTGTTTATAATGGAATTACTTGATAAGTGATTTGACTTTATACTATAATTACTAATGTTAGGTTAATAACCACTATATTATTGTTTTTAACGGAATTACTCGCTAAGTGATTTTACTTTATATTATAATTATTATTAGTTGCTTACATTAATGATTGCGGATAATGGGTAGAGTAATATAATTTAACCGGAAGGATAATATTTTAATTGCTGTAAAAGAGTGCGGCGGAAATGACGCCGCCCCACCTTGCTAACAATGCAAAAGGTTGATTAGTCAATTGGGAGTGGCATTCGCTCAACGCTTGTCGTCGTAGTTAGACGTGAAGTTAAATTGAATTGTGTATAAGTTAAATTGTGAAGTAGAATAAAGTGTAATAGTTGGAAAAACTGTTTTATTCTCTATCTGGTCTTGAATAGTATAACAGATCAAAAGTGGAATAAACAGGATACATATTTAATTATCTTGCCACGTGCACCGCTCGAATAATGTAAGTATTTTTTTATATAAATTGATACTTGGCATATTTTGCTATAAAGTATAACTATATTTATTGATTTCAAAGTGTGATGAATAATTAATAAGGACATTTATATGATTAGTTTTTTTTACCGTCTTTTTCGTATATGTCGTGAAATTAAAAACATAATGCTGATAATGAAACTCCTCTTCAATTATTGATTTCAAAGTTTGACGAATGATTAATTAGGCCATTTATATGATTAGTTTTTTTTACCGTCTTTTTTCGTAGACGTCGTGAAAATTAAAAACATAATGCTGATAATGAAACTCCGTTTCTTTTGGTGATACACGACATTATGAAACCTAAATAAATTTGTCAATATTATAATTATTGTAGTATGATCAATCGGAACCAATAACAGATATAATGACTAAAAGAACTTACATAGCTTAACTATTTCTTGTATAACCTTTAAAGGAGAGAAAAGTTCTAGTTCGCGCTAGTAGATGAGTTCGCCATGTACATTAAAAGAAAATCTCTGGACAAGTTCTAAGCTTATACCTGAAAGTTTCAGATAATTGGAGACAACATGGATGATGAAATTGCTCAAGGACAAGAGCAAGGGGATCGAATGACCCGAGGAAAGGGATTCAATGAGATTTGTGATGATGCGACCAGTCGAGGGGAAGGACTGGCGCATCTAACTAATCAAGGAGCACCAAGGAAGGTTCAAGGACGGAATTTTAGCCCGTTATTGATACGGAAAACGCCCTGCTCGAGGATAGAGCAGGTGCAATACAAGGATAAGGAGGGACAATCAAGTTTGGGAGTACGGACATGGTATCAGACTAGTGAGTCTGGTAGCGAGGATGGAAATGATGAAAGAAAGAAAAGGGACAAACGGTCAACTCGCCGTAGACTGGAATCGAGGAGTAAAAGAAAGCGCGATCATTCAACATCTTCAGGGGATGGTTCTTCACAGCATACTAGGCGTCAGCGGCAACGTAGTATAAGTAAGGAACCAGAAACTAATATTATATTAGATAAGCTCGGATAGGCCTAAACTTGCTTTCAACACTAACGTCATACCGGAATTTGATCCTTTGTCGAAAGATCAAACCATTTTAACTTGGATAAACAAAGTAGAAGAGTCTGCTGAAATTTATAGCTGGGATGAGAAAGAAATTATCCATTATTCATTACCTAAACTTAGTGGTGTTGCCAAAACCTGGTTTCAAGGATTACCTTCACTATTATATACATGGCCCGACTGGGAAAAAAAAGTTATTACAATCATTCCCCTGCCGCGAAGACTACGCCGAGCTTCCAACTGAAATGTTATCTAAGAAAGTAAAATACGGCGAGTCATTGGAGCACTACTATTATGCAAAGATCAATTTATTAAACCGTTGTAAAATTTTCGGTAGACAAGCTGTGGACTGCCTTCTTTACGGTGTTGAGGATCGTGCTATTAAAGTGGGGGCTCAGGCTGCTCATTTTTCTGAGCCTGAGCAGGTTCTTAAATATTTTAAGACGGTTAAAACAAGCCAATCTTGGCCAAACTGCGACGCACCAATACAAAAATATAGCGATCGTAAGGTTCTACTAGCTTCAAACCGACCCGGGCCGTCTAAATCTAATTCATTGAATAATAATATTAGGTGTTTTAACTGTAACGAAATAGGGCATCCTAGTTTTAGGTGTGATAAGCCTCTTATAAAGTGCACAATTTGTGATAGATTAGGGCATAAGTCTAACGATTGTTATAGAAACAAATTAGCATCTGAGCCAGGATATAACAGGATTAGAACTTCTAATGATTCTAAAGATGAGAAACACGTAGCGAAAGTAACTTTAGGTGACTCCCCCTGTGATAAATATGTAATCAACATAAAAGTTAATGGATGTTCTACAACCTGTTACGTTGACTTGGGGAGTCAATGTTCTTTAGTTAGGTTAAGTGATGATGATGTGAATCTATGGGACTCTATATTAATTCCCAAACTAAGTTGCCCATACTAAAAGGGATAGGGTCTAACTTAGTAAGACCATTAGGCGTAGCGCTAGCCTCCGTAACAGTGCAAGGCTTAACGGAGGATATAGAACTTTACATAGTTGACGATTACGTTCTTAATCACCCAGTATTGTTGGGGCACTCATTTACAGAAAAATCTGATATTTTGATTATCAAAACCCCTAGTAAATTAATCTTCCAAAAGATAACTCAGAACAAAATTCGTTTATTAACTGAAAATTTCACCAACATTCCTAGTAACGCATTGCAAAGGGTCGAAGTATGTGCCAATACGGACATTGATTATGACATTTGTGTTATCGGATCGCTACGTGGTTCAGCTGGAAAAGAGTTTTATATTCTACCTGGAGAATACGAAATCAAGAATGGTTGAGGTGTTCTTTTAGTCTATAATATATCGAAAAATGATATACGCATCGGAAAGAATTCTCTTTTAACAAGAGCCCTACAGAAACATTCAATGCCTACGGGTTCTGCAGTTCACGTATTGGATTCATGTAAAGTCACTCTTGATTCAACTGGAATAGATGAAACAATTAACTGTAGTTCTCAACTTACTGATGAACAAACACTTGAGTTACAGAGATTACTTTCGAAATAGAAGGAGTGTTTCTCAAATGGACTTTATGATCTTGGGTTTACAAATGCTACAGAAATGGTAATTGAGTTGGAAAACTCTGAACCTGTCATTTACAGTCACTACCGCATGTCTTATACTGAGCGACAACTAGTAAGAGACATGATAAAAGAGATGGCTGACAGTGGAATCATAACAGAATCATCATCGCCCTATGCTAGCCAAATTGTATTGGTACAAAAGAAAACTGTTGAGAAACGGCTATGTGTCGACTATAGGGCTCTTAACAGAAAGACGAAGAAAACTCATTATCCATTACCACGAATCGAAGATCAATTAGATTTACTAGCAGGTAATACTTTACTTACATCATTGGATTTGGCTTCCGGCTATTACCAGATACCAATTTCTGAAGAATCTCGAAGCAAGACTGTTTTTGTAACGCCCGACGGGCATTATGAATTTAATTGTATGCCGTTTGGGTTTGTAAATACACCATCTGTGTTTCAACGCACCATCAACAAAATACTTATGGAGGCTAAAATGAAGTATGCCATTGTATACATGGATGATGTGCTTATCCCATCTAAAACCTTTGATGAAGGCATTGTGAGACTAGAAGAAGTGCTCAAACTCTTAAAGAGAGGAGGTCTAACCCTCAAGTTAAGTAAATGCAATTTCTTCTATAAAACTATTGACTTTCTAGGATTTGAAGTAAGTGCTAATGGAATCCGCCCAGGTAGTAGGAAAACAGACGCTGTCTCAAAATTTCCGAAACCTCGCAACCAGTATGAATTAAGACAGTTCCTTGGATTATCTGGATTTTTTAGGCGTTTTATCAAAGGTTATGCTACAATCACGGCATCATTGACTAGCCTTTTAAAGAAGGGCTCTTGCTAGACATGGGGATCATGCCAAGAAGAGTCCTTTTTAAACATTAAAGAAATACTAGTCAACCGACCTGTGCTCGCCCTTTATGACCCTAGTGCAGAAACAGAACTTCACACAGACGCAAGTAAGGAAGGTGTGGCAGGAATATTACTACAGCGGAATCAAAGAACACATTACAGCCCATATCTTATTTTAGTAGGAAAAAAGTGCACACAAGCGTCAACTTCACTCATTCGTACTCGAAACTTTAGCAGTGATTGTGTCATTGAATCGCTTTAGAGTCTATCTTATAGGAATACACTTTAAAATTGTAACCGATTGTAACGACCTTAGATCCACTCTGACTAAACAAGATTTGGTAGCCCGTATTGCGCGCTGGTGGATCCAACTACAAGAATACGACTGCACGATTGAATATCGACTAGGCGCTCGAATGTCTCATGCAGACGCGCTTAGTAGAAACCCGGTGGACTGTTCATCTGAAGGTATTGCAGATGATCGGCAAATATGGGATGTGTTGGCAATAGAGCAAACCCAATCGGACTGGATAGTTACCGTGCAATCTGCTGATGACAAAATAAAGAAAATAAAGCACATATTAACGGACTCCGAGGCAGACCAATATGTTGACATAATCAAAAACTACAAACTTAAAAATGAGCGCGTCTATCGAATTGTTGGCGATTCACTAAGATGGTAGTACCTAAGGGAGTACGTTAGCAAATACCCAAAATGAACCACGACGACATCGGGCATTGTGGTTTTGAATAAACATTGAAACGAATCCAAGAACATTACTGGTTCGCTAAAATGCGCCGCTTTGTAAAAAAATATGTGCCGTCTTGTCTCGAGTGCGCACATCACAAAAACGTGAAGGAGAGTTACATACAATAAATAAGGTCAGTATTCCCTTCCACACAGTCCACGCAGATCATTTAGGACCCTTTGTCAAAAGAAATAAAGGGAATAGCTATTTGTTAGTTTTGATTGATGGCTTTACAAAATATATTAACATTACTCCTGTTAAGAATACAAAGTCCGTGACAAGCATCCAAGTTATTAAAAACCACATAAGTTACTTCGGCGTACCCACGAGACTAATCACCGATAAGGCCACTAGCTTCACGAGTAAAATTTTTCAGGATTTTATAATGTCTTATGGTATCAAACACATCACAAACACCGTTGCTACTCCAAGAGCTAACGGTCAAGTAGAACGTTTTAATAGGACGTAGTAAAGACGATAAATCTTGGGACAATTATGTACAGGATATTCAAGTCGGTATAAATACAACTAAGCATAAAACTACACAAAGGTCCCCATCCGATATTTTTTGGATTTAATATAACCAGTAGATCAGAAGGCATCCTAAGCTCTGTTATTAATGACACATTAAACGGAACTCCATTAGAAAAGTTACACGAACTTATGTAAGATGCTAGTACAAAAATTAAAGCACAACAAATTCAAGATGCAAAAAGGTTTAATGAACGTAGAAAGCCCCCAACTAAGTACAATGAAGGTGCCTTAATACGTTTAGAAAAGCAAGTTCACACGACGGAAAATCACAAAAACTTGTTGTTAAATTTTTGAAGATACGCCGCTTACTCGTAAAAACAGTAGAAAATATGAAGCTATAGTGTCGATTGACAAAATTCATCCATGGGTGAATTTCAACAGAGATTTTGAGTCTGATTCAACCGATAATAATACAGTTGACACTGAATAGTTAAAATTAGATATTCATTGGTTATATTATACAAACAAAAAAAAAGATAACTGTGGATTTAATACTAATTATAGATTTTATGACTGAAAGTCAAATTTAAATTTTGATATTATTATTTTGGTTAATATTGTATTTATATCTATCATGCTTAGTTTAGTTTAGGATATGTTAAATGTTTTAAAAACAAATTGTAATTTCATTACTTTCTTTTAAATTTGTGGTGTTGTTTAAGTGTAGAAGCGATGGGACACGCTTTGAGTAGGATGGCCGAGCTGTTAGGTTAATAACTACTATTGTTAAGTTAATAACTACTATATTATTGTTTATAATGGAATTACTTGATAAGTGATTTGACTTTATACTATAATTACTATTGTTAGGTTAATAACGACTATATTATTGTTTTTAACAGAATAACTCTATAAGTGATTTTACTTTATATTATAATTATTATTAGTTGCTTACATTAATGATTGCGGATAATGGGTAGAGTAATATAATTTAACCGGAAGGATAATGTTTTGATTGCTGTAAAAGAGTGCGGCGGAAATGACGCCGCCCCACCTTGCTAACAAGTGCAAAAGGTTGATTAGTCAATTGGGAGTGGTATTCGCTCAACGCTTGTCGTCGTAGTTAGACGTGAAGTTAAATTGAATTGTGTTAAGTTAAATTATGAAGTGAAATAAAGTGTAATAGTTGGAAAAACTGTTTTATTTTCTATCTGGTCTTGAATAGTATAACAATAGAGATATTGTTATTTTAGCCTTGTATCGTTCTCCACAAGTAAATGAATTATAACGTACCATGGTTATTAAAATGTGTATTCTAAGATTACATACTTTTGTATTTGTCAACTGGGAGGGAGACCTGATAACCTGAAATACAGGTTCGTCGCAAGTTTAGGCATCAGTCTCTCACATTACTTTGTGCCTTTTTTTTGTAAAAAATCGATATTGTTAGTTTAATGTGGTAAGAAAATAAATTATATTATTATAATGGGGTATTTGTATAGTTTTCTCATCTGGTTGAACTGTATAAATATATAATTGAAAATGAAAATGATAAACATACATAAATATCAACAAAATAAAATAAATACATAAAAAATACATAAATAAATAAAAAAACGGCCGAGTATTAGGGGGAAAGGGAAAGAAACCGGCGGACGATGCGGGCGGTATCGAGGAGCACCGCCTTCTGCATTTGAGCTTGGAGCGGTCCGTCACAGACCCAGTCGCCTCAGATGACCCGAGAGGCTGACTGGGATTAACCCGTTCGCAGAAACGACTACAGGTATAATTTCGGTCGGCAGTCCACCTCACATGTCGGTCACCTCGTGAGCCAGGTCCAGATGTTTTGTTCGCTTATCTGTTTCGGCTTTCACGAGGTTCTCGTCATACGGAATGGTCATTTTGAACAAAAATATCCTTGAGTGTGCCCGGTCCATCAGCACAATATCAGACTTATGCGCAAGAATGGTCTGTGTCTGTGATGATGGCCCGGTCCCAGTAGAGCCTGGCGCGGTCATTTTAGAGCACGGCTTCCGGCATGTACTTATAATAAGGCAGTTTCCGATCCACGAGACCGTATTTCAGAGCGAGCTCCTGGTGGAAAATCCTGGCTACTAGGTTGTGCCTATGCAAGTATTCAGAGTTAGAAAGCGCCGAACAACCGGAGATGACATGCCTAAGTGATTCACCGGGATGGCGACAAGCTCGACAAATGTTGACGGTGCCATCCCTTAGGATGTTCTCCGATAGATGCTGGTCTTAATAACCTGATCCTGTATTACACAGACAAAACCCTCGGTTTCCCCGAAGAGGTCACCAAAACGTAGCCAGTGGAGGGAGGCAACTGTATCTACGAAAGGTTGATGGGGAGCCTTGTAGAACCTCCCGTGGAGTTCCCTCTCCTTCCATACGGTCTCCCGGTTGGAAATGCTCTGTACTTATTATTATATTATTATTATTAAGTTTATCATATTGTATTAAAAGCCCCGTGTAGTGGTGGGTAAGAATACCCACTACCACACATCATCCTGGCATAGAGAAACTGAGGCAGAAGATAGGCAGCAGCATCTTACTGATAACAGCTTTTTACAATAAAAAACTGCGGTTGCCAACCTGCTTACCAAGCGTGGCAATAATAGCAATATACCCCCATGACGAGATTTACGAAAAGACGGCCCCCAGTCCCCGGCAGCCCTGCGATTCCTGGCTACCAACAACTGGCGACCATGGTAGCGACGGAGCCGGGGGTGCTTAGAATCTCAGGTGGAGGTTCGGTTGTCACCTAAGATGACTTCCACTTGGCAACATATAACGCACGCTCCCTAAAGACTGACGGGAAGATCGTGGAGCTGGAAGAAGAGATAGACAAGGTGCGCTGGGATATTATAGATAATCTGAGGTCCAAAGAGAGGGAAGGCGACCATCTGTCCCAAGGTGGTGTAGGATTTATCGTCCATAAGTCTCTCGTTAAGAACGTTTTAAAGATTGGAGTGTGGCGACCAGGGTTGCGTACCTTACACTAAGAATAACCAAACGGTATTCGCTGAAAGTCATACGGGCTTACGCACCAACCTCGGCACATCATAGAGCCATGTAATCATCCAAAATCCACGATACGGTGTTAATTGGAGACTTCAACGTAAAACTAGGCACAAACGAGAACAGTGAGCTGAAAGTAGGGAAATCCGGGATAGGGAAAATAAACTCACGGGGCCAGCAGCATATCAACTCGAGTTACAAAATCGTTTTCAGTGCCTAGAAGACTACAATGAAGTGGACGATATGAATGACAAGCTTGTGTAAACTGCCCGTGCGGTCGGAGCTAAGTTCTGCAAGACCCGTCGCACATGAACACAAAAACTTTCCGATCACACTCTTAATCTCATGGCTGTTACACGGAAAATGAAGCTGCAGTCTTCGACAGATTTAATAGTATACAGGAAACTGAACAGACATATCTCCAAATGCATACGGCGGGACTCACGCAACTTTAATACAGCTTGTATTAAAGAAGAGACCAAGCGGTACCGGGGCTCCAAATTCTTTGCCAAAGCTCTGTCTGTCAGGAAAAGTTAACTGTAGAAGCTGAAGACCGAATGTGGCAGTATCGTTTCCGGGACACCGGAGATTTTGAAGGAGATTGAGAGGTTCTATTGGCAGCTGTACACGTCTTCGTTGGTGTCTTACGCAAGCTTATGTAACGATCCAAGCGCAAATCTTATCCGACACTATTTCGATTATATACAGAAGTCAGTCTGAGTGAGATTAG